CGCAGTCACACCTAACTTTTCAAGTTCAGGGCCTCCCTGGGGCACCCGATCACCTGAGCCCCCTTCTCTGTGGGTTGTCTAGGGCTAGGCTGGGGCCTCCCCCTCCTGGTTGCATTAGGTATCCTCCTCTATCCTCTTGCCAGTCCCAGAAATGTGTTCACTTATGCCCCCACCCCGTCTTTTTGTGGCTAAGGATTCATTTGGGCTTCAGGAGTCCTTTGCTATCATTTAAAAAATATACATATATATGTATATATATATCTTTATTGATTTCATAGAGAGGAAGAGAGAGAGAGAAAGAGAGATAAAAACATCAGTGATGAGAAAGTAGTCATTGATCAGCTGCCTCCTGCACACCTCTGACGGGATCGAGCCCGCAAGCCGGGCATGTGCCCTGACCAGGAATTGAACAGTGATCTCCTGGATCCTAGGTCAACGCTCAACCACTGAGCCACACCTGGCCGGGCCTTTGCTATCATTTTAATGGGATCCTGGGAGGAAAAGGAGACACCTTATGCTCCCAGTCTGCTGTCTTAAACCTGAACCTGGACTCTAGAATCAGAAAGATACGGGCTGACAACCTGAGACACTTGTCAGCTCCTTGACTTCTCCAAGTCTCAGATTCCTCATCTAAGACATGGGGGTGAGAAGCCCAACATCACATGACTTTGGTGAGAACTGAACTAGACCTTATATGTTAGGTAGCTGACACAGTGCTTGGCACCATGTTCAGTAAATGGCACCTGTCACTGTCACCTGGATGCAATTCCTGCTGATTTGTCCACTGATTTGTCCACTTATTCCTCCAGGGCCTACTAAATGCTAGGCTTCACAGAGTCCTTAAGCATAAATGGGGCAGGGAAGTCAAAACTCCCAGTGCAGTCATCTCAGCATCAGTCCCCGAGCTGGCAGTGCTCTTGGCAAGATGCTGCTTCTCCTGGCTTGGCTTCCCTTGGTCTTAGGATGTGCTTTTAGCCTGGGACTTTTCCATTTATCCCCTGGCCTTGAGTCAAATGGCCTGTGGGGCGAGACTCCCTGAGCTGTGTGCCAGTGGGGCTCCACTGGCCCACTGTTTTTATGTTGAGGACACATGATTGTCTCTGATGGGCCTGAGTGATGAGCTGATGATTTGGGTAGAGTGAAGCCAAATCCTTGTGTGGCTCCAGGAATGGGGATAATTATAGCCCAAGTAATTGCTCATGCTCTTTTAAGGACTGAAAGTCAGCTTCAGGAAAGCTGTGAAGCTCCACAACCAGGACAGCAAGGGTCACAGTTCCCTTTTTTAGAGCTGTGGTCAGCACTCCTTGTGCACTGCTGGATCCTGGGCTTCTGTAATGCTATTCCCACTGAATAAAGGGGTCCCCTTCACTAGTCTACACCCCATGAAGGCAGGGATGGGTCTGAGATGTCCCTACCACATCCCATTATCCAACACGATGTCTGGCATACTAAAGGTTCTCAGTAAACATTTTAAGTGACTAAGTGAGCAGCAAGGGAGCTATATTTACAAAATAACCTTTAGCCCTGGCTGGTGTGGCTCAGTTAGTTGGGCATCATCCCATGCACCAGGAGGTTGCGGGTTCGATTCCAGGTCAGGGGCGCATGCCAGGGTTTCAGACTCGATCCCCAGTGGGAGGCGTGCAGGAGGCAGTCGATTGATGTTTCACTCTCACATTGATGTTTCTCTCTCTCTCCTTTCCTCTCTCTCTAAAAATTAATAAACTATTCTTTAAAAAACACCTTTAGAATAAAACCTATAGCCTAGTTAACAGTAATGGACCAATGCTGACTCCCTGGTTTTGATACTATACAACAGCCGTGTAAGAGGTTGCCCCTGGGAGGGGGAAGCTGGGTGAAGGGCACATGGAACTCTTGGTACTATTCCTGCAACTTCCCATGAGTCTGTGATTATCCCAAATAAAAAGTATAAAAAACAAATACCCTTTAGTCAGGCTCACACCAATACTCTGACATTTAGAGGAAGTGGTGCTGAAAGATGAATTAATGAAATCCCTGTCCACAGCAATGTTTTTGCTTCATTATTTATCTTTGAATATAAATGTATGATTTATGCTTATGAGTCAAAAATTAAGTGTATAAATGGACAGTGAATACTCTTTCCCTCCGCCAGGTTTCCTCCCCATGGGCAGCTAATGTTAACATTATTTGCTTCTTGTGCTGATTTTAGTGAAATTGTGTGCACATACATATATAGACTTGTGAGTGTGTATGTGTGAATATAAGTATATTCGTGTGTATATTTATATGCGGTTACATTACCTTACTTTTTCCACTTAACTACATATCTTGGGAGATTTTCACATCAGCACCCAAAGAGCTTCCTTGTCCTTTGTTGCATCTATAGCCCATCATCTTTTATGGTCCCCAATTGGTGGACATTTATGTTCTTTCCAATCTATTTGCTTTTATGTCAAAGCTGCAATGAATAATCTTGTTCGTTCATCATTTCCCAAGTGTGGGAGTGTGTTTGTAGAATAAATTCTTAGAAGTGGAACTGGGTCAAAGGATATCAGCCTTATAATCTTGATGACACTGAATTGCTTTCTGTAGAGCTTGTTCCATTCCACACACCCACCAGTGATGTGTTTCATGAAATGCTTGTGTTAATGAAGTGATTTTAAACTTTTTTTGGTGACCTCTTTGTGAGTCTGGTGAAAGCTATGGGCCTATACACATGAAAAACTGAAATCACAGAGTGTTTTGAAGACTATTTTAGTTGGCTCAGAGAACCCTGAAGGCTATCCATGGACCCTGGTTTAAGAAACCCTGGCTGAATGGGAGGACATGTGGTACAGGGGAAAGAGCTTTAGGGCCAAGCAACCTAAGTTCACACTTACTGGCTCCAGAACATCAGGTGAATTGTTTCACCTCTTCAAGTCTCAGTTTTATTTATTTTATTTATTTTTTAATTTTTTAAAATCCTCACCTGAGGACATGTTTTTATTGATTTAAAAAAATTTTTTTTTTTAGAGAGAAGAAGGGGGGAGAGAGAGAGAAACATCAATCAGTTGCCTCCCAGATGTGCTTCGACCAGGGATCAAACCTTAAACCCAAGTATGTGCCCCAACGGGGAATCAGACCTGCAACCTTTTGGTATATGGGAAGATGCTCCAACCAACTGAGCCACCTGGCCAGGGCTCACATTTATGTTTGATGGAAACATTCAATAATTCTATTTCATAGGGCACTTGTGAGGATACATACATGCATACACGTAGAGCATCTAATATAGTGGTTGAAACAAAGCAGGTGCTCAATATACAGTTTGTACACACACACACATACACACACACACACCCTTCCTCACATGCACACGAACCCGTCTGTTCCATTTCGACCTATGTTTCTAGTTGTCTCTGTAGTAACTCCTGCTGGATTCACAAGATCAGTCTTTGGAGCATCATTCCCCAAGTGGAGTCCTTGGACTAACAGCATAGGAATCACCAGAGGGCCTGAATTAAAATGCAGATTCCTGGGTCCCACTTTAGATCTGTGGAATTAGCATTTCTGGAAGAGGGTCCAAGAAGCTTCACACTTGGGGATTCTAGTGCACAATGAAGTTGGAGAAACAATGCTAGAGTTTGATACCTGTAATTCTAGTAGCTACCACTATGTGGCTTTGCCAGTGGGAGCCTGTACCCTGTAGATGGTTGGTGTAGACGCCTGAGCAAAGAGTGATTAGTACCCAGGACAGTCTCCTCTGGTTCCATCTACAAAACCACAATTATTTATGGGTGTAACAGCACGCATGGCATTCCCATCAGGAATTTCTCTCATAATAACCAAGAAGGAGAGATAATCCAGGACTAGATGCCTGTGGAAGGGCAGGGGTGAAGGCACAGTAGGCCAGGGTGGGTGGGGGAAGCTTGTCATGCCTGGGGTGACTGACCCATGGCCAGAAGCTGGGGATAAGAACTACGTAGGGTCAGGCAGCTGTCACCAGGAAGACCTGAGGCCATAGGCCTTGCAGCACCAATCCTGAGAGCTCTACTGGTGAATATATATTCTGGATGACATGTGATGGCCCAAGGCTAGAGTTGCCAGATTTAGCAAATTAAAATATAAGACATGCAGTTAAATTGGAATTTTAGATTAAAAAACACACATTTTTTTTTAGTGTATGTCCCATGCAATATTTGGGTATATTTATACTAAAAAAGTTATGTATTGCTTATCTGAAATTCATATTTAAGTGTGTGTCCTGTATTTTATCTGGGAACCCTACCCAGGGCCTCTCTGAGCTGCCTCTAACCTCCAAAGAAGTCTAGAGCCCCCAAGTGACTCTCCCAGAGCCTGGAGCTCCGTGACCTTGGCTCTAGGTGGGCAGTGTACCCAAGGGAGGTGAGGAGGGTAAGGACAGGGTATGGACTTCCAGGAAAGGGGCAGCCCTTCCTCACCCGTGTCTGGGAAAGAGCAGGAAACAAACCTGTGCTGATTGGCGCCTATGAGATGCTGGCACTGTGCTACGCCTTCCAATATTATTTCACTTAGTTCCCCTACAACCCTATGAGTTAAGTGTCATCACTATCATTCCCACTTTAGAGACGAGGAGACTGGGGCTGCACCATGTTAAGACGACAGGGCTGTGGGACAGGGGAACAGGGATTAAAGCCCCTGGGACTGTTGCCAGGTCTCGGATTAGCTGAATCTCCCCGGCCCTTCTCTCTGGTAATCTCAAGTGTTTAAGGTGGGAGTGGCCCCCACCCACAAGTCCGAGACAGGAAATGTTCCCAGTTTCTCCTGGCGCGGGGCCAGGGTCCTGTCCTGGCTCACATGCTTGCTGAGGAGTTCAGGCTGGGAGGCAGATCTGCAGAGTTCCCTTGGTCCCCAGCTGGCCAGGACAGTGCCCAGCGACACGAGATGCCCATGGGCATTGCCATGTGCTGTGTGGGTACCCATGGGAGGGGCCCAGGGTGAGTTGCTGCCTCACAGGTCCAGCCTGCCCTGGGCTGGCCCGGTCAGCTTCCCCTGCCCATAGGCCCTGAGCCGGGCCAGAGGGGGCTCCCGGAGGAGCTCTGGGCTCTAAGTCCCAGCCCCTCAGAGGAGGCGGGCAGCCCAGGCTCCACAGCCAGAGGCTTCTCAGCTCCGAGCTCCGGAGCCAGATGTAACATTGACCTTAAATGGTAAAAGCTCCCCAGAGTGAAGAGAGGCTGGCCAGAGGAGGAAGAGGGAATAACTCAGTTTTAGGTAAGTCGTGCTATATCCAAGAATAACCTGCCTCTTCAGCTGGGAAGCGGAGGGAAGCGTCTCCTCCTTAAAGGTACAGGGTGCTGGGAGGGGCGCTTGACTTTACTTTCCAGGGGTGTTGGCTTTGTTGGGTGACATTTCAGCTGACTATTTTTATGTCCTAATTTTTCAATAAGAAGTGAATCTTGCCAGTCCTAACTTAGCTAAATTGTGCTGCTTTTGCTTGCTGTTGGAAAACACACAGGTTAGGGTGAAAATGTGGGAGCTCCCTACCCCCAGATTTCCTGTGCGCCCCTTTGGGACAATAGAGCGTCCCCAGATTATGCGAGCCTGCGCCGCCTGCACCCCCCGCCCTTCTTTCCCAGCCTGGCTGTGTTTACTATGCCTCTCTCTGCCCC